ATTTAAATTACCCTATGTTGAAATTATATAATTATAATACATAAGCCTTTGGGGGCCTAAATCTGCTCTGATTGCTTCTGTCAATACTAATTCATACTGGTTCATTTCATTGTATATTTGATGATTTTTAAATTTTGAGTTCACACTTCAGTGAACTTAACCCACAGGAATGCTGTCTATATTGAGAATGTATTGCTCCAGAAAGCATTCACAATTATTTCCTTTGTAGGCAAATATAGGTAGGCCAGGGTATACTACTGAATAGGGATTATTTTATTCCTTTTCCAGTGTCTGATCCAGATACAAATCTTTCAGGTTCAACCATCCCTTCTTATTTAGGGCCAAAGCTTAATTGTGGTCATAAATCTATATTTCTCAACTGTTAAATATTTGGGACTCTGGTTTCCTGTAGTTCTTTTCTCAAGAAGAGGAGAGGGGCATACGAGAGATTTCCTTTTCTGGAGAAAACAAAATATCAAATGTTAGGTTTTCTTAAAAATTAAAAAAGAAATTGATTCCCATTTTTGTGAAAAAGCCAGAGGATGGAGACTATCAAAATGCTGATAATGAAGAACTTTGTTGGGTTTTTAATGAAAAAATGTATAAAAACCAAATTATTGTTTAAAAATCCTAGTTAAATGTTGGCAGACAAAAAATTTTTAATCCTATATTAGCTAAAATACAAAGTGTTTTTTTAAAGGTAATTTTAGAAAATAGACTTTTAGTACTCTCAGTTAAAAAGAATAGTACATTATGATCAGTTTTTGAAAGGAGAGAATATGTAAGCATAATCTATAACCTCTGTAAAACAGTGCTTTAAACACATTAGCTTGGCATTGAAAGAATGTGAAAAATAAAATGGCCCTTGGCAGTCCTCATGTTCTATTTCACTTCCCGAGGACAGGGAAAGGAATAACTTCTAGGTCACGAAAAGCAAAACTCACTGAAGTTTTGAACCACTATCTAAAAATTAGTTCATTTCATTAATGCTTCATTCTTAAACCATCGACACAGATGTTTGGCCTCTCTGTCTTGAAACTCAATGCTTTTGTAAAAAGTGTTCAGAATGTCATGTTAAATCCCACAAGCATGTTGTTATAACAAGAACCTAAGTATAAATCCCAAGCGAGCAATAAATAACACATTAAAACAGGAATATGACATCTGAGCCCATTTATAACTGACAAGGACCTTTATATAATGTGCTGGAATGAAGCACAAGATCTATTTTTATGTATATAAAGAGAATTGGGGAATTATCTAATTTTAGGGCTCCCAGAGACCTTGATCCACTAATCCTACTCCTGCATTCCCTAGAACAGGAAAGAAACAGAAGACGTGGTTTTCTCAGAATGCATTTATTATGTTTATTCTTCTCATAAGGGCTTTCATTAACTTTCAACAAAAATGAAAATACTTTTTACTATAAAAGTAGTAAATGCTCATTATATCTTTTATAATGTTTAAGGATTAAATTGGAAGGAAAACATGTTCTGATCCTATTTCCCAGTGAGAACCATTATGAAAGATATAGTGTACACATTCTTCCAGATTTTACTATGTTGTATACATACATATAGAGAGAAAAATACTTTTAGATAAAAAATAAAATCATACTGAATTTATTGAACGTCCTCCTTGCCAGAATATTTAATAGAATTCTTTCTTATCAGTAAATACACTTTCTTTTTATTAGATGAACAGTATTCCTAAGAAGAAGTGTACCACAATATTTTAATCAACATCCAACTGGTTAACATTTTAGGTGCTGTTCATTTTTGCTATGATAAAGTGTTGTTCTAATACTCTAAAGAAAGAATATATTTCCAGTGAAGGTGACTCATCTCCTATCTTATCAATTCCCTATGTAATCTAAAAACTGCTAGTCATTATAATTTTGATGCTAGATTGAATCACTGCAGATATTAAGTAAGAATTTCTGAGAAAGATACTGTGAAATAGGGCTTGAGAAGACAAATAGGCTTTGTGAAAAAATCTATCTGAAGACCCTAAGACATAAAATATATGTAAACTTCATAGAGGTTGTACAATTTCCACTCTTGCCAACACGTTATATATTTCATTTGCTCCAAAACTTTGGCAACACTCGTCTAATCAGAGTTTTAAATGCTTGCTGGATAGCAATCCACAATCAAACTCGTTGCTGTCAAATTAATTCCAACTCAAAGTTGGACCCTGTAGGACAAAGTAGAACTGCCCCGAATGGTTTCCAAAGCTGTGAATCATTACAGAAGCAGACAGCCACATCTTTCTACTGAGAAGCAACTGGTGGGTTCAAATCAAAGACCTTTTTAGTTAGCAGCCAAGTGCTTTTTAACCACAGTGCCACCAGGCTTGTTTCTTGACAAACCCACTGCCATCAGGTCGATGCCAACTCACTGCCTCCTACAGGGCAGGGTAGAAACTGCCCCTGTGAGTTTCGGAGACTGTAACTGTTTACAAGAGTACCCTCCGAGCAGCTGGCGGTTCAGAACTGGGGGCCTTGCGGAACACGGCCCAGCTTGTAAGCACTATGCCACCGAGGTTCTTTCTTGCCACAGAGTACATGTAATATGTTACCTCATCGTGGTGTCTGTATTTTTCTAATCACTGGTGCATTAAATGTTTACTTTTACATGTCTTTTTATACACTTATTATCCAAGTGAGTTCTCTTTTCTCTGAGATACTTGCTTAAGCCTTTCACTCACTTAAGAACTGTCCTATTTATCTTTTCTTGTTGATTTGTAAGAGTTCTTTATCATCTGTTGCTGCTACATACTTTGCATGCATCTCTCCCTGGGGTTTGCATTTTCATTTTCTTTAGATTATCTTTGAGGAACAGAGCTTTTTAATTTGAATGTAATCAAATGTAATTTGGCATTATTTATGGCTTAACAAATCTCCCATCCTGAAGTCTTAAAAATATGTCACATTTTGTGTTCTAAAAGTTTCATAGTTTGGCTTTTCATACTTAAGACTTTAATCCATATGGATCTGATTTTTGTTTGTGGTGTGAGGTATGTGCAGATTTTGTGTGTGCATCATACATTAAATGTACATGATGACCCAACTGCCTCCATATTGCTTATTATTTCACCCATCTTTTCACCAGTGATGGGATATGCCAACTCTGTCATAAATCACCGCTTCTTATATAGGTGAGTCTGTTTCTAGGTGCTCTGTTCTGTTCTACTAGTCAATTTGCATATAGATGTGCCAGTAGCACCGCTCTTAATTATTACAATCTTAAATTCATTTTTGATATCTGGAAAGGCAAAGTCCCATTCTTCCGCTCAGGCCTATGTTGGTCATTCTTACACTTTTGTGTTTCCAAATTTTATTATTCACTCTGTTAAATTGTACTATATGTCCTGTTACTTTTCCAATTTACCAGTTTTTAACATATATTTTGATTATTTTCTCTATAGCTACATAGGTGATCTTTAAAATCTTAATATTTAATTACACTTTCTCCTTCTGTAGTAGATTTGAAAAGGATTTTTGCATTATCGGTAGAGACCATGACTCCAATGTCATAGAATAGTTAACAAAGAATAATAATAGGGATTCCTAGGGATAGAATGGGGGTAGGATCAAGGAGATAAGAAGAAGGAAAATGTGTTGAAGTTGATGGTGGGAGCAATTGCACAATCGTGCTTGATCTAACTGAATTATGGATTGTTATAATATCTGTAAGAGCTCCCAATAAAATGATAAAAAAAAAAAAGAATAGCTAACAAGGAGACAGGATTGGAAAGTCAGATTATTTGCTTCCCCTAAATTGGGTCTTCCTTGTTATTTTAAACTTCCTTATTGTGATTTAGGTGGTTTACAGAGCATATCACCAGTTTTATGTTAAACAATTAAAAACCATTTGTTTCAATTCATCCATTTCAACCCCCTCAATGTATCATCACTTAGGGTCTTCATAATTATTTTTTATTTAAAATTATTTATTTATTTAATCATTTTATTGGTGGCTCGTACAACTCTTATCACAATTCATACATACATCCATTGTGTCAAGCACATTTGCACATTTGTTGCCATCATCGTTCTCAAAACATTTACTTTCTACTTGAGCCCTTGGTATCAGTTCATTTTTCCCCTCCCCCCTACTCCCCACTCCTTCATTAACCCTTGATAATTTATAAATTATTATTTTGTCATATCTTACACTGGCCGATGTCTCCCTTTACCCACTTTACTGTTGGCCCTCCCCCAGGGAGGAGGTTATATGTAGATCCTTGTAGTCGGTTCCTCCTTTCCACCCCACCCTTCATCCACCCTCCTGGTATTGCCACTGTCAGCACTGGTCCTGAAGGGATCATCCGCTCTGGATTCCCTGTGTTTCCAGTTCCCATCTGTACCAGTGTACATCCTCTGGTCTAGCCAGACTTGCAAGGTAGAGTTCGGATCATGATAGTGGGTGGGTGGTGGTGGTGGGGGGGAAGGAAGCATTTAGGAACTAGAGGAAAGTTGTATGTTTCATCCTTGCTATACTGCACCCTGACTGGCTCATCTCCTCCCTGCGACCCTTCTGTAAGGGGATGTCCAGTTGCCTACAGATGTGTGGTCTTCATTATTTTATGAGAAGATTACTTCTGTAAGAGGACCATAGGCATATTTTGAAGTCAATCAGAAGAAAATACCCCAGCAATTCATTTATCATTTGGCTTGCTCATCATTTGTTGCCCTTTGCGTTAACAACTGAAAATAGACCGTAAAGGGCTGACCTGAGCATAGATGTTAAGAAAATGCTTTTGATGTGCACGCACGCGCACGCGCGCGCACACACACACACACTCTCTCTCTCTCTCTCACACACACCACACACACATAACTGCTTTAGAGATGACTTTTCATATTCACACAATCTAGACATAATCTAGCAGTTTTAAGAGGAAACTTTTCCTGAATCTTCTGGGGTTGGGGTTGGGGTTGGGGTTGAGAAAGCATCCTCAAATGCGAGAAGCCACCTGAAGGAACCAGAGATTACCTGCAGAGTGCAGTTCATCATCCTTATTATGTAGTCAAACTGCTGGTGGTCGAGTATTGCCCGGTTTTGCTGGACATGTAAACCCAGTTCGTCAGTAAGACACTGCCGTGCTGCCTTTCCCTTCAGGGCTCTTAGGGCAGCAGGAAGGGTCTGCAGATGGAAGCGATACAAGTGACCAAAAGGACCACTAGAGAACACACCACTTCTAAACAATCCATTGAAAGTTTAAATGCATCCTAAACGTCAGCTAACAAGGCCATCAGTAGAAGCAGACTACTGAAGAAGAGCTAGTTGGATCTTAAAAACAATTAAGATATGGGGGGCGGGTCTTGTTCTTTGAAGAGACATGTTTACGTTGAATACTACAGCTTATATAATTCATTATATACTGACTAGATTCTTCATAACAAATTAAATTGTATTTAAAATATAAAATATCTTAGTAATATGCCAAAGTAGTGTTTAATTGACAATGTTTCTAAGTTTGAAGACAAAAAATTAAATTACTTTCAATACTTCTCTGGCAGCTATCAAAGTAACCTTGGTTTACAATTTTAAATCTTAGGCACAATTCATAAAAAAATGATCAACACAATGAAAGGTCACTATATAAGGAAAAGGGATGAAATTTGCAACCTTACGTGTAATCTCGAAAGGGAAATAATAAATGCATTTCATTACCTTTTCAGTCTCCAAAGTTTTATTTTCAAATATGAATGAGATGCAGTTCCTAACAACTTCTAGTCTCTGTGCACTGTTGAAAACTGTCATCACTTTATCCATTATTGAAACTAAAGTGAAAGGAAATAGAGAAAACACAAATAAATTAGGCTTCTTTGGCAGCTTCTTTGGCAATGACAAAAGCAAGGAGAATATGAGTTTATCACTGTTTAAAACATGACCAACACTTGGAGGTTACTTTCCCCCCTGGTTACAATGGCCTTGAAGATATTCCATTTCACTATTCTGATTACATTTTCAGGTTCTGAAGTGTCAGGCTACTGACCTGCTTATTGAGAATGCCACAGGGTGAATTCTAATGATACACTTAACTCTCAGGCAAATGAACTAGAAGCATATTACCAAACCCCACACAAACGCACTGCCATTTTGACTTAGGGTAGTACATAACTGCCCTTGGGCTTCTGAGGCTGCAGCTCTTTGCTGGAGTAGACAGCCTTATCTTTGCTGTCAAGTGGCTGGTGAGTTTGAACTGCTGAGCCTGTGGTTAGCAGCTCAATATGTACACACCGTATCACCAGAATTACCTAGAAGGTAAGTATCTATTTACACACACTGACAGGAAATGTTGGGAGCACAGGACTATGACAAAAACAAGCCAGTGTCCATAAACAAAAGAACTACTGACAGAAAAAAAAAAGAACTACTGACGGAAAGGTATTCTAAGGTATTAAAAAAGACAAGTTAAAACATCTGTATAACACATACACAGATCAAATACTACCAACTTGGATAGAGGGAACTTGAAAAGAAGTGTTCTGGCTTAGCAAAGTCACTTCTTTGCCCTGGGAATTTAGCACTCCTCAGCTATTACCATAGCACTGAGCACTTGAAACCTAAGACAAACCAACCTTGCCATCAAGTGGGTTCGGACTCATCACAACCCCAGAGGACAAGGTGGAACTGCCCCCATCGTTTCCAAGACTGTTCTCTTAGAGAAGCTGACGGCCACATCTTTTTCACAGTGTGGATGGTGGGACTGATCCGTCAACTTTCTGGTTAGTAAAGTTCTCACAAAAAATATCGCTGCTGTGTGCTGTTGATTTCAATTCACAGTGGTGCCCTGCAGGTCAGAGGACTTCCAAGGCTGGAACATTTCTAGGAGTAGATCGATCACCAGTTTTTTTCTTCTGTGTAGCGCTGGTGGGTTTGAACTGCAAACCTTTCAGCTAAGAGCCAAGCACTTAACCATTGTACTAGTAAGGAGCCTTAAAAGAATATGGCCACTGCCGTGGAGTGGATTTGGATTCAGAGGGACCCGATAAGGCAAAATAGAAATGTCGTCTAGGAGTTCCGAGGTTTCAAATCTCATTTTTCTCCCGAGGAGTGGCTAGTGACTTCAAACTGATGACCTTGGCAGTTAGCAAGTCAACACGTGACCCATATAAATCAAAACAGTATTTATGAAAAAGAAAGAAAAAAAAGTATAATTCACAGAGAACTATACTGTACGACAGGAGCCCTAATGGCAAAGTGGTTATGCACTGGGCTGCTAATCATAATGTAAGCAGTTCAAAATTACCAGCCACTCTGCTGGAGAGAGATGGGGCTTTATACTCCTGTAGAGAGTTACAGTCTTGGAAACTCATAGGTGGTTCTACCCTGTCCTGTAGGGTCACTATGAGTCGGCAATGAGTTTTTGGATATTGCATGAGGAATCGGCTCCATGACAGTTTATACTACATGACTTATACAAATGAAGTTGTATCAATAATTTTTAAGACAACAAGACAACTTATACTTTATGGGTGTTCTTTGGAGTCTAAAGGTACTATACCCTGATCTCTCATTATCTGACTAATTATTTTCATTTCTTCAATATAAAACCATGGATCCTTCAAATTATTTACACACTTTTTTACTTTGAAAAAGTAACAGGCTCACACAAATTGCAGAAAGTGTATGATGAGGTTCTGTTTATGCATCATGCAGCTCCCCTCAATGGAGACATAGAACCATCCTGCTTTATTGGCATCAGATATGTAATTAGAATACTACAACAGACTAAACTAAAGACATCGCTTGGTTTTTGCAATGTTCCTCAAGTTATTCTTAAGCATCTGACATCAATTTCCTATTCTGTCATGAAGGGTGAACTGACTATTTCACAGGACTTTTCTGCCCGAATGTTCATTCTTAGTGGTAGGCTATAGGTGCTTCCTACAAATAGAGGGAAGGCATGTGGCACAGACTGGACAAGAAATCTACATGTAGTCTTAGTTTCCAAAAATACCACATAATTTAGTCAGCAAGGAACTTACACATGTAAGTTACATTTATAAACATTTCCTTCTAAATCTCTTTGTGGCATTTGACATTTTCTTCAGTCTGAGCCATTAGGGCACCCCCTTTAAAAATAAGGAGTCTGTTTACCATTAGGACATTGTTATTTTCCTTTGGCAAACAGGACTGAGTTCACTCCCAGAGAAAACTCTCCACTTGGAGCCACAGATGGGTCCTTCTGGGATCAGCCAAGTCCCCAGTCGTGACTTTCTAAAGCGAGCGGTCTGGTACTGGGTAAGGGCTCTGGCTTCTGGGCACTTCACTTCAGGGCTTCCCTTTGAAAGCTTTGCCTTTCAAATGCCAGCCCCAGCCAATGACAAGTCCTCTGGTCCCCCGGGGGGAGTTAAAAAACAAAACAAAACGAAATCTCAAACTCACTGCCACTGGGTCAATTCTGGCGCACAGCGACCCTGTAGGGTACCACAGAACTGCCACGTGTGTTTCTGAGACTGCAAGCCCTTGTGCGAGTAGGAGTTTCCCCATAGACCCACAGGGGCAGTTCTACCCCACCCTATAGGGATGCTATGAATCAGAGTCAACTTGTTGGCAGTGAACTTGGTGAAGATATGAGAGTAAAAGGGCACAGATATTGCTTTTGTTACATGCCACTGAGCTGGTTCTGACTCTTGGTGACTCTCGGCCTGGGCCTGGGCCATCCTCATGACCACTGTTTACAGGCCTGTAATTCCGGAGAAGGGGAAAGACTGGAGAGGTACTTAAAGACACACAGCCACTTTTCCCCTAAGGTATTTGTTAATGTTGAGGGCAGGCAAAAAGCTGAGGATCTAGGCTTGATTCTGGTAGATGGTTGCTGGTTAGGCAGACCGTAAGTGAACAAAGGGAATGCATACTGTGACCTCTAAGTAAAGAGCTGAAAGAAGAGTAAACAAATGCGGGTGTCATAAGTCACCAGCGAGGCACTATGGAATTAGAAAAGTACTTTATTACTCCAAAAGACAGTGAAAGACTAGAGGGAAAACACTCAACAGGAGGATCAAATGGAATAAAAACCCAAAAGAGTAAACTACACTAGAGCCATTACTATCAGAAACTGTTAGATACCAATCAAATAAATATAAGTTCCATACTTAGATTATAAGACTGACTAAAACCAAACAAAATTTTCCTTGACCCTATCACCGACACTGCTTACAAGAAGGACACCTTAAACTCAGCAATGGAAATAAACGGATGGAAAAAATAAACCATATAAACAGGACCCAAAGGGAAGCTGGTGTAGCTGCACAACACCAGTCAGAGTAAACGTTGAGGCAAGAAGCATTTTTAGAGATGAAGAGGGGCACTTCATCAAGGGACTGAGAAGGACGGTATAAAAGTTCTAAATATACAAGCAGCTAATAAATTAGCATCAAATTATTTAAGGAAAATGACTATAAGAACTAAAATAACAATAAGCGATTCTATTATTATAATGGGATTTTAATACAGTTCACTTTCAATAGCGGGGGTGGGGGGAAGTTATCAAAGTAAGTAAAGGAAGGCAGCCTATGGAATGGGAGAAAATATGTGTAAGTCATCTATCTCATATGGAACTTGGATCCAGAATATACAGAGAACTTATCATTCAAAAATTTTTAAATGACCCCCTCCCCCCCAAAATGTGAACAGATATTTCTACAAATGAGTTAGATGATTGTGTTAGCTGCCACTGGCTTGGCACCAACTCACAGGGACCTTATGTACAGCACAAAGAAACGGTGCCTCGTCCTGTGTCATCCTCAGGATCGCCGGCTTGCATGAGTCCCTTACTGTGGTCAATAAGCACATAAAAGATGCTCAACATCATTAGCAGATGTGGAGAACTGGACCCCTCACACAATACTGCTGAATGCAAAATGATGCTGCCACTTTCGAAAGCACCTGGCAGTATCTCAAAATGTCCAACTCCAAGTTACGTACCCTACAACCCATTCATTCCAGTCTGAGGTATACGTCCAAGAGAACTGAAAAATATTCACACAAACCCTTTACACTAAAGTTCACAGCAGTAATATGCATAATAGTAAAAAAAAATTACAGAAAACCAGAGACAGACCCAAAGCATATCAACTAATAAATGGGCAACTAAATGTGGTTGTGATTCATATCCACTACAATGGAATACTATTGAGCCATAAAAGGAATGAAGTACTAATGCTACAGTGGGAATGGACCTCGAAAATATACCGAGTGAAAGGAGGCAGTCACAAAAGACCCCTTTTATATGATTCTACTTGTATGGAATGTCCAAAGTAGGCAAAACTACACAGGCAGAAAGCAAATTTCTACTTGTTTAGGGCCATAAGGATGTGGTTTGGGAGAAATAGGGTATGACTGTTAATGGGCATGACTCTTTTTTGGGTGTGTGTTGCATATGATTAAAATGTTCTGAAATTAAGATAGAGGTACTGGCGATGGTTGATAGGGGTTGCTGGGTGGTAGAAATGGTTAATGTGCTCAGCAAGTGGTCAACCTGAGGTACAGGGGAAGAATGACCTGGCAACCTGCTGCCCCAGATGACCCCTAAATACATAAAAGCCCGTGAAAACCCTATGGAGCACAATTCTACACACACACACACACACACACATACACACACACACACACACACACACACACACACACACACCCAGATCATCTCAAGTTGGAGTTGATTCAACAGCAATTGGTCATAGTGATTACTGTCGAGAGATTTAAAATCACCTAATTCTTTAAGAAGGAATTTAATAGGATATTGAATTATATAAGGTGGCTCTTCTGGTCAAAGTCTCTAACTCCCATCAAATGACCTTTCCTTACATGGATCTGGTAAGAAGGTGGGGGGAGATACTGATAGGATTCACCTGTGGATAGCTGCAAACAGGATTCCTGGGAGTGCTGTACTGCTGTGTATAAAATGAGCCCTCTGAGAAGCAGGAGGAGGGTTCTCATGACCAGCGAGATCTGGGAGTGGAACCCATCCTCAGGACCCAAGATCCCTGTGGAGTGAGCCTCCTGGATCTAGAGGGCTGCTATGCCGTCAGAGGAGCTACAGTAGTACCAGGAGCCAGAGCATGGGGGCAGAGTGATGGATTTCCCACCTCATGGAGCCAGTACAGTTCACAGTGCAGGAGGCTGGCTAGTGGAGTAGTGTGCCCTGAGCACTTAACTGGGGAAGTGCACTTTCTGAACCACAGAAGTAATGCTGATTGATTTGGGGCTGAGGTTTACTGGAGTGGGGATTTAATGACTCATGGAACTTAAACTTTGGTTTGCCCCTTTAGACATTTATTTGAAGAAAGAACTTTTTAACATGTCCTGTTAAACAACTCAACCCTAGGCATTTCTCACTGGCATTACAAGTTGGTAACTTCCTTAATAAACCTTTTTATTGTGAATTTTGTCATTGAGTTCTGTGTAGCCATTGCAAAGGATAATAGAACCCAGAGAGGTGAAATAGAAACCAAGTTTAAAATAAATCCAGACAACACAATTTATGTCTCAATGAAGCTGGGATAAAGAAAAACAACCTAACCTAGCACTAGAGGTTAAGTTAATGGTTACCCTAGGTGGGGTCCTGGGAGTGAAACAAACTTTCTGCATGTTGGTAACCTTCTGATCTAGATACTGGTTGGCAACTAGAATTAATTCACTTTTGTGAAAGTTCATTAAAATGCTCACTTTATGCTATGTGTACCTTTCTTTTTGTATCTCATATCTTAATTAAAAAAAAAAAGCTTGACTTTTAAAACACACAGACAAATACATACCGACAGGTGGACCTGCTGGCACAACACACTTCTTTTCCACTCGCGTGGCAGGTGGTGCACTCTGGTTCTTAGCAAGGTTTTCCTGTATTAATTCCTGAACCCGGGTTTCATTAATCTTTGGGAAAGGAAGAATATGAACTCGCAAGTGGGATCCTTCTGTTGGGCGCGGCACTTTCTGGAATGCCATGTGAGGGTTTGGGTTTTCCTACAGTATGAGACAGAGGCAAAGTTATTCAAGAATGAACATGACATCAGTAGACTGTCAGGCAGGGAAAGGGTGCTGAGAGGGGCACACACTGAAACCCAGGCTTCAGCGTGCTTGTACACGTCCATATATGTATGTCACACGATGCAGACTACCAGACTCTTCCTTGTTCTTACGTGGTCTGTCATCAGACTACTCTCCTTTCTCGGCCATGATCACTTTCTGCCCTCAGTTCCCACGTCATCTTGATAGATCTTTGATTTCTTATCTCTTTAATTTCTTAACTATTTGGTCGTTTTTATGGTTTAAAGATATGAGATTGGACGTGGCCATGAAAGAAGGAAGTATGAATAGAAACAAGCCCAAGGACTGAATGGGGGATTGATTCAATGATTCACAAATTTATATCTCCAACCAGCCATTCTCCAGAACTCCAAAACCAGCACAGTTGCCATCAGACGATTCTGACTATGGGTAAACGAGCCATAAACTTTCACTCAGCCGTCAAGCCCTTGGCAGTTTGTAACACTCAGACTCCTCCTGAGTCCAGGCTCATATTCTCAACTGCCTACACTCAGGACTTCCATTTAAATTTAAAGTAACATCTTAAATTTAGCTTCCAATCAGAGCTCATACACTTCACTCACTTCCAAACAGTTACTTCTACAGCCTTTCTCATTTCGGTAAACACCATATTTGTTTTTCTAATTGCTTAGAATACAGTAATGATCTGAGAAATGTTGGTGGCTTGAAACAAAGTGTATTTTAGCAGTGAAGACTACAAAGTTTTCAGGGGGTAAAAAATGGATAATTAGGTGTTAGAGAAAGGCACTAAAAATGAATGAGCAATTTGAACTGGTCTCCCTGCTTCTACGATGGTTCCATAGCACAATCTGAAGTCCTCACAATAACGTGCCTTTTGTAGATCTGGCCTTTTTGTATCCTGTATTCATTCTGTTCCAGTCACACAAGCCTTGTGGTTTCTGCCTCAGGGTCTTGGTACTTTCTGTTACCACCCTTTATATGGAATACCATGTGCATCCTTCCACTACCATTGCATCTTTTTGCTTATATGTCACTTTTCCTGGCCATCGTATCTATCATTGTGTCTTTCCAACGTACTCCCTACCCACTTTTATATTTTTCTCCTTCATACATATTACTTCTCACGTACTGCATACTTCCATTAACTTGTGTATTGTCTATTCTCCCATGCAAATGAAGCTCCAGGAGGGTAGATATTTCAGTCTATTTTATATTAATATATTATAATATACCAATTATTAATATATTATTTTATATATATATATCCCTCTGCTGTAACTGCACACCGATAGCATTGAGAAACTGTCTGACACATGGCTGGCACTCTATAAATGACTGGATCCTAATGAGAGGGATACACCTTGGGACTGCAGTAATTGAAGGAAAGGTGCCAGCAAATATTTTATGACTCCTAGGGCTGGCGGGGATTTTATCTCATCCTTGAGTTAAGCAGGAGTATACTTCAGTGGTTACAGGCAGAGTGGAATCTATCCCCTTTATAAAGTTCTCTAGGGAAGGATGCTTTACAACCGTTCTTAGACCAATTCTAGTATTTATTATCCTTTGCAACAAGAAAATTCCTTTTTGTCACTGAACCTATGTTATTCAGTGTTACAGATTATGCTCAATCTTACCCCAAACATCCTTGGGCCAGTTCACAATGGCCACTGTCATTGTCTGCTAGGGCTTTCCCCACAGCTCATTTTGGTTATGTGGTCCAAACCCAGGAAAGGAAAGGCTGGTTTAAGGTGGACAATATAGTCAGAATTTTTCAGCACACTAATGGAGAGAATACAGCTCTAAGTGTCAAAAAGTCTGGGCTCGGTTCTTGCTGTTTGTCCCTTTCCTGTCACGCTGGAGTTCACCTAAAATACACACACTTCTGTGTATCTCACAGGCTTCCTGAGTAGGTGAAACCAGACTAAAATTTATCATCTTGCCAAAGGAACCCTTACATAGAGTTTATATTGTCCTCCTATATCATTAGCAATGAAAGAGAAAAAGCAATAAGCAAAGTCCAACACCACGTCTTCATGATCACTACTTTCTAAACCAACTGTTCAAACAAGTGCTGTGAAATGTTGCCTGGGATTACATCAACATCACCAGTTTAGCTTTTTAAACGACCATTTCTCAGAAATAGTATGTCTGAAAAAAAATAGTATGTTTGCTTTTTTTGTCCTTTCAGATACAATGCCTATTCATATCTTATATTCCCACAATTAGAAACATAAAGTCTCTGATTCAAGTTGGGGAGATTTCTTTTTCAGGCCGCTGAGGTAACTCATGTACAGCCTGAGACAGGAATCATTGAAAAAAGATTCTTCACTACTTCTGCTTCTATTTACACTTATTTCCCTTATAATAAAAAATAAAACTTTCCCATGATGAAATTAATATTAGAACCAAATTTAAAATGTGGGAAAAATATGAGAAAAGAAAGCTTACAGATACCAATTTAGCCTCTCAAGTTCAATTTCATCCATCTCCCTGAAGATATATGCTCATCTTCTGGCTTGCTCTCAAAATGATTTATGTTGTATATAATACTTGCAGTCAAAATTCTGTTCGAGTTTGTCCCCCAATATGACAAGTTTATCTTAAAATATGTGAAATGCCTCACTATCATGCCCACTGATGACATGATTTCAGACATATTTATAAGGTCAAGAGAAGAGGAACTGTTTTCTTTGTTGTTTTTTTTCTCCCCCAACTTACCACTTAAAAAAACCAACATTTTATTGGGGGCTCATACAATTCTTATCACAATCCATGCATCCATCCACTGTGTCAGCACATGTGTACATTTGTTGCCATCATGATTCTCAACCAACATACAAATTTTAACCTACAAATTATAGCACTACATTGAACCCCTAACTTCAACAAAATTTCAACAATACCTGATCGTTAACAATTTTGTGACATTACTTTATCTTTTTTCCATTTCTTTCTCTCATTTTCCCCCTGAATCATTTGAAAAGTTGCACACATCAACGTCTGTCCTTCCTAAGAAAGGATAAACCTTTGTCAAGGATTCTGTTTTACTTGGATGCACAATCCATGCTCATGGGAGCAGCAGTCAGAAGATCAAATGGCATATTCCATTGGGCAAATCTGCTGCACAGGATCTCTTTAAAGAGTTTAAAAGCAAAAAAAAAAAAAAGTTGAAAAGAAAAGACGTCATTTTGAAGACTAAGGTGTGTCGGACTCAAGCCATGATATTTCATTGGCCTCACCTGTGTGTGAAAACTGGACAACGAGTAAAGAAGACCACAGCAGAAGTGATGCAGTTGAATGATGGTACTGGAAAAGAACATTCAAGGCACCACAGACTGCCAGAAGACCAAGCAAATCTGTTTCAGAGGAGTACAGCCAAAATGGTCCTTAGAAGCCAATATGATGAGACGTTCTCTCATGTAACTTGGTCATGTTATCAAGAGAGAGCTGGGAAAGGAAGAACCTTGAGGAGATGCACTGACTTGGTGGCTGCAATAACAACAATGTGGATGGTGCAGGACTGGGCAGTGCCCTCATCTCTTAAACACAGGAATTCTATGACTTGGCGCTAATCCCATGGGACCTAGCAACAACAGCAAGGTTGCTAACTTCAAGGTCAATGGTTCAAGCCCACTAGCTAGTCCATGGGAGAAAGATGAGTCTATCTGCTCCTCTATACCCTAAATAGGATCATTATGAGTTGGAATCCACTCAATGGTAGTAGGTTTTCATTTAACACTACTTTTGAAGTTTGTCTATCTTATAATGCCTTTAAAAACTTAAAAGTCTTGCTTAAGTCTAAGTTCACAAGGAACTCACCAAAAGAGCTATTTTAATACATTTATCCACTTTCCCTTTCCTTTATATATTTATTCCTTGTGACCATATTATCAAGATTTTATGATTCATATACGCCCATACCATCCCCATACCACTCTAACTTCCTGGGATAAATGCTAGACTTTTCCAAAAGCGTTTTGTTGTTTGCTCCTGCCTGCTGGCTTCTGACTCGTGGTGACTGCATGCCCATTGGACTGAAAGGCTACCCAGTCCTCTGATCGACTGGTTGGCAACAGGACTGTTGTGATTCAAGGTGTTTTCGATGGCTGATTTTCAGAAGTGGATCATCAGGTTTTCCCCCCTAGTTTGTCTTAATCTGAAAGCTCCCCTGGAAGCTGTTGGGTCTCATGAAAACACTCAAGTCACTACTGACAGGTGGTGGCTGTGGCTGGGAATTAAGCCTGGGTCTTCTGCAAGGAAGCTCAGAATTTTACCACTGAACTACGACTGCCCACTCCAAAAGTCTAGCATGTGTTCACCTGAAAATGACTGATTTGCTAGATATTCTATAGCACGGTGTCATGTCCTAACTCTAAAAGTAACTCTTTCTTTGTCAACATTCCTAGTCCCTATTACCTGATTCTTAGATTTTCTTAATGGTAATAGTACCACCTAATAAGGGTGTAAATAAAAATCACTTAATAAAGAAAACATTATGCTATTAGGTATTGTGTTTTTTCCCCTTAATAAACAATTTGAGTTATTGCCAACCAAATGCAGACACAATTTAGATTAATAGCACTTTTTAATTTTGTTAAATGCCACTTCACTGTTGTAGATATTCTACACAAGAATGCAGGCTACGACTTAAAATTACTAAATTATGCTACCCTCCATATGTTTACAAGATTCAAAAAAGTTTCATTCTCAAAAATGTACTGTTTGGTTTTCCGGCTGACGGGTCTGTGCACTGCTGCCCTCTAATGGGTAATGGGGTAAATGTAACCGGCCTTTGCCACCTTCAAGCCAAGCAAGGCAGTCACAGAATGGTTTTTGAGAAGACAGAAGGAGTGGGACTTTTAAAGCTCATTGTATATGAATATTCATAGAAACACTTTCCTTGGTGTAACTTCAAATACATTTGGACTGATCCTTTGAAAGTTACTGAGTTCATT